GAGTGCGGAATGAAAACCTTTCAGTCAATATGCTCAATATGCACAATAAACAGAGCTTTTACCTTTTTGACTTTATTATTGACTACAAGAATAAGCATTTTGAAATTGTGATTACTAGTGGGGGAAGACATTCCGCAAGCTTTCCAAAATGGGAACTTATTTCATAGCACTGACGTCTGCCTAAAGTTTGGTATGTGTGCTGATCCCTGGCTATAGGGTGACTCAAATAGTAGTAAAAGTGGGACAAGCTGAGCTACAAACATGTCCGTCACTACAGTATTTATAATCCAGAAAGCCGGTACACCTTATATGATCGTGTTTTCTATAAATCTCACTTTTTTATATAAAAATGAAAAAGTGGGACAAGTAAGAGGGATGAGGGATGGAGGCCTAATTGTCTGTGCTGGACAACTAAACAAAGGACAGGTGGTCACCTTACATGGCCATCCTGCACAATCAGCAGACACATTTTAAGCATTTTCAGCGTAATTTTCCTTTTACTTTGAATAGCAAGAGGACTGAATTTTTGTGCCCTTTTGGTTTGTCTCTATAGGGATGATACACTTAGCTGGAATGCTTGACTGTATGGGATTAACTTATGAAACTTATTTTTCTCCATGGAGACAAGCAGATGTTGCCACCAGGCCAAGTTAGAGGTCTGATCTGTGGAGAGGTGACCCTGTTCACAGCTAGTATGCATGATTATCTCTTTTTAAGCTATAAAAAAACACCTATAATTTAATAAGAGCAAGATAAACAAGTTTGATGCCATAGTGTAGACAATTCCCCACAAAGCAATATGCACCACCCCTCCACCAGCACATCAACTGCTGCCAAATGACATGTGCTTTAAAGAAGGTATAATTTCATTTATTCTCCTCTCCTGTCAGTGGTCATAATGTTAAGGCAGTCCTGTGTATTCAGCTGTGGTAAAACATAGTGACTAATGTCCCAAGGAAGAGGAGAGGAAATGGGGGAGAGGATGAATAGTCGGGGCGTGCGTGGCAAAGACAAAGTCGTCTGCTCAGCCCATGACGGAGCTGACAGCGCAGACAGGATTCTTAATTGCCCTTAGAGCATATTTCTCATCCCACCTCTGGTAATTGGACATGAACACCAGTGATAAATTGCTCCGACCATCTTTGATTTGGAAGCTCCTGACTTCTGTTTGGCACCTGGAATTAGGAATGGCATTCTCTGCAAGTCTATGTTAAAATAGTAAAATAGTCTTTTTTTGTGTATAAAACTCTAGATCTGTTTGTAACCATTTAAAATCCTTACAAAATGGCAACAGATCTGGATTAAAACTGAGCTCCAACCACTTTAGAGCCTCTAGGATGAGTAAATTTGTAAATTTGCAGTAGACCCGCCTCAAGTAAAGAAAGTAAAAGTAAACTCTGTACAATTTTAAATTTAAGTAAAATAAGCAATATGCATATTCATATTTAACATTAATGGGCAAAAACTCCACACCTTTATACTACTAGCCCAATGTCACCCTTGTTTTGGACACAAGTCTCATAGTGACTTGTGAATAGTAATCCTGTTGCCTATGGTCTGGTTGGGTCTGTAATCAGGCCAAAACCACTGCATGTCATCTATCAGGGGCAAAGCATACAACAAACGCTTCCATGTCTAATTGAAAAACATATCTGGGAGGTGGAAGCCCATTTTCAAACACTGTGTGAATGTTAAGCAGCTCCATTTCAGTGCTGGCTGCTCTCCTTCAAGGCGATTTGCAACAACAACCTCTGGACATGATTTTGAAGGGTTTAATTCCAAGAGGAAAACAAGTGTTCCTGTGTCCTGCCGTATTGTTTCTCATAACGTGTCACATTAAAGGAGCACTTCATGTTGTAATAATACAGCTGTATTGAATTGTTAGCAAACACTGTAAATATGTTTTGATCACTAATGTATAGAGTGGATCTCATTTAGAAAAGAGGTTTCATGAAGTTGTTCCATATAAGTAATGAGAGGAGACCCTCCAGCTCTTTATGTCAGATTTGGCAAAGCTCTGAGTCTTACAGTCTCTTAATGTGGAACCAAGCTTTTATTTATAAGGCAGGGCCCATTAAATGTTTATAGGCAGTACATTACATAGCAGCTTTTAACTGCGTTCTGGTTACAGCCACCCTGATTATAAAGAAATTAAGAATATGACCCCGAACAGAAGTTGTGTCATCATGAATATACAAGCCTTTCTCCTGAAACAAATGGAATCTGAAATTATAACACAGTTTACAGAAAATTACAGCTTTGAGCATAAAACAACTAATCCAATGTTGTAATTTCTCCTTTAAAATTAAGAGCAGGAGCTATCAGGCCACATGCTTTTTAAACATCTGGTTTAAGTTATATGTTGAATAAAAAAGGATTACAATTTTGACTAATGTAGCAGTAACTGACCTTTCCCCATTCAAAAGATATATTTTGATTGTAAGAGTTTAATTTCCATGGTGATGGAGAACTGTTGCCATAGCTAGAAACCCATGAATACATTACCATACATTTTGCCTTCTAACAGAAGTGTTTGTAACAGTACTAGCTGAAGTTGTCCCTTTATAAATGCTATTGAAGAACAATAAAAGGAAACTTCCTTAGACAGAGCTACTAGCCGCCCCTTTGAGCTGGAGAAATGTTGTGATACAAAACAAAGTGACATTAGCGGCTGCCCAACTGCAAAGGATTCAGTCCAGAGCTCTTCTTGCAGCATCACTGTCACACTAAGACTAAGTTCAGACTGCAGGGCTTAATGCTCAATTCCGATTTTTTTTGTGAAATCCGATGTTTTTGCGAGGCCGTTCACATTTCCAATTAAATGCGACTTGTACATGATAAATCCGTGTATCATTTGTTCATTCGTTTTTCAATATAAAACCAAAAATAAGAAAATGAAAAAACAACAGTTTTCTTCGTTATTTGTCTCCAAAACCAAAATGAAAAAACGGATAACGATTCGTTTTTTCAGTTTTCAATTTTGTGTTTAAATGAAGAATGGAAAAAACGGATAACGGCCGGTTATGTATCGGTTTTAGGAGCACATATCCAAGTGGCCTGGGTCGCATTTGAAAAAACTGGATCTGTGTCGTTCAGACTGTCATTAAAAGATCAGATACAGGTCACATAGAAGCCAAAAAATCTGATTTGGGTCACTTCAGGCTGCAGTCTGAACGCAGCCTTAGACCTGCACATCAGCCACGCAACAGGTATAGGTGAACTCCCTCACTTATATCCACTGACAAGTTTTGCTTTGCATGAGATGTTTCACATTAAACTTATCCATCTCCAAGTAGGCAATGCCACTAGGCCAAGTGACAAGTCAAATATATAGAGAGGTGATACTGCTCATAGTAAGAATGCATGTTTTTCAAGGTATTTGGAGCAACACAAGCACCCATAATTGAATGATTTCAAGTTAAAAGTTATATTGTAGAACATTCCATGCAAAGCAACAACATCATGGACACAAGCACACTGTACTCTACAACTGCAAGTTGCATAGTGCATCTATAATGTGTGAAGGAATAACAGGACCACATTTTATTTCATTTGCTTATTTTTATTTAGCAGATTTTAATAGAATGCAAAGGTCTATTATAAGGAAACAAATTCAAACACTGTTTTTGCTATGGCATAGAGACAGACAAGAGACTGCCAAAGATAACATTCATCATAACATTAGAATGTAAACTTTGCTTAAGATATTGAGATAAAATACCAAATGATCGCGTCCATAGTTACGGGTCATAAAAATGGGACCGTGAAAAAAAGACACTCCTCACAAAACGTCTGCAAATGTGGTCATCACACAGATATGCACCAGTGACAAAAATAAAGTCTGTGTGGCTGCAGCTACTTTTGGAAAATAATCCTTTTACGCTTTTGGACATATTCTCCGCACATTTACAGGTCATTCTCAGAGAAGCATTATTTTGTTAAAAGAGACGATCCCTCACTGTACAGTGGAAAGCAGTGATTAAAAGAGCACAGAACAGAGCCTATTGTACAGGATGTCTGCTCAAACGTAACATGGCAAATGACAAAGATGGCAGTGATGAGAGAATATAGATCAATGATGTGTTCATTTTTTGTCCATCATGATGATGGATGACTTCCTTTTCAGATTTTTTAAATGGCATATGGCTTCACTTTAAACGGCATGATTGGCTCCATTTAGTGGCACTCTTTGTGCTTGCCCATCCAAGCTGCAGGCTCACACTGCCTCAAATGCCACCCAGTCTATTACTTCTCCCATTCCATCCTTTCACACAGTGCGTCGCCTCATAAACCATCATACATTTCCTGCTAAATGCCGCTTTCATCACGGCGCCCTTGGCTCCATGTGTGCCACTAAGGTGGCGCTGATTTGAATGTGAAAGAAAGTGAGCATCTGAGCAGTGTGTGATTGTACAAGCAGGGCCTGTGTGGGAGCCTTCTTTTTGGCACTCAGAAGCATGCAGCTCAGCTGTTAATGCTGTGATTCATAGCTAATTAGCGACTGTGGTAATTAGCGCTCGTTATTAGGATGAATGGAGCGGCGTGTATGCATTGCCATTTTCCGTCTCGCACACTTGAGTTTTTTCCCTTGCTAGTTGTTGTGCGGTGCCACCGGGAGCAGACAGTATACCTGTGATTAGCCTGGTCCATCTGACTGACTCATGGCACAAACAGCCTGTGAGCGGTAACGCTCTGACTGGAGAGTTGACGCTTACATGTGTCGACACTAAATAGGACCCAATCATGTCCATGAGCTCTGGGGTTTCAGCTCGTCATTGTTCCGTTCCCTTTCCATTTCGTGGTTTATGTAACAGTGACTAAGAATCCCCCATGATATCCATTATAGAATCAATTTAAGTAGACTTATTCAGATGGCGTTGCAAGGATTTTCAATTATCTGCTTAGACCAAATGTCATCATTTCAACCAGACAAAGTTAGCGGGCTCCAGAGTCAATGCTCCCTAACCTGGCTTTGTCTCTTCATTGTAAAGACAAAGTGTACATGTGTGTATGTGTTATATGAGCACTCTCACTTCCTCTCCATCCCAGCTGAACATCCACACCCCCAAATTTTCACAGCATGAACCCACACAGATTGTGGGCAGCAGTCCATATGGGACAATGTGGACTGCCAATGTAATGTGTGGCATCTTGAGAAGGAGAAAGAGGGAAGAGGGAAGGGGGAAGATAAAACAAACTTGTGGTGTTGAATGGTTGAAAGAATATGTGCTGATGTTAAAGCTGTGCAAGAAGGATGGAAGAGATACTACAGACTGAGCAGAGACATAGTGGAAAATGTGGCTTACCCTGGCACTCTTTGCAGATTCTTGACTGTTCAGGTACTCCGTCACCTGGGGCAGAAAAAAAAAAAGATTAGCATACCGTATCTGTACATCACATATCCGGTTTCAGACGATCACGCTAAATCAGTGCCGACTTTGAACCAGTTCCAATCCTAGAGACATCACTTTTGCCTGCTGCTTTCATTAATATTAAAACTTTTTTCCCACCAAGCTCCAGTTTAAGTAAAGGACACAGACACTCCCTGTGACATTAGATGCACAGAACACAGTGTTCTCTGAAGATCAGCAAGATCAAGAAAACACATGCTGTCTGTGAGTGGCTGTGACTGCAGGAGCTTATGGAGCTGTACAGTACAGAGTAGAGCGGGGTCAGGGCCTCATCACAGTATGTTTCAGTGCACTTGAGCCACTCCAGAGGAGAGGTGCTCCACCAGTGAGCGCCTGCCCGCCTCATGTCGCCAACTAAGCTCAAGTCTGGCTCCTAATCAGAGTGTTCACAATATAGTGCACAAAGGTGGCAACAGGTTGACATGTTTTAAGGTTAAAATTATAATTACATTTTTATATGTTTTTGCAAAAAAATTATAATTTGTTCATGTAATTCCTCATTCGTACATTTTGTGGTCCATGAAAGAAAAGGTTGAAGGTAGTTATCTAGACCAAGTTTTCACTGTTAAAAACACTGTTTGTAACCTCTTCTAACACAAGAGACAATAATGATCTGACCTCTAGAGATACATTTTGTGTGAATACTAACAATTATTTGAAAGGTAAAGACTTGACTTTCTTTGCTAATATTTCTTCTTCTGGTTCCCAAACTGAGCATGAGAGGTGTTAAAATTGTTCATTTGGAAAGGACAGTGAAGTTTAATTGCTGTGCCGGCATATGCAGGTACACTTATTTGATCGCTACACTGCACATGGCACCACACTCAGGAGAGCTGCTGCTAGATGGAACAGTAAAGCCTCTATTCAAACTAATGCACATGAAACTGCACGAGTCATCCATCACAGCCAGCTAAAGGAGATATTTTTTAGAAGGTGTTTGAATATGGTGTGTGGGTCCCATCAGGCAGATGTCACCATGTGGAGACGCCAGCAGACAATATTTCACACACACAAAAGGCCAGTGATGCCATTTGGACTTTATTGGAAAGCCCGAGTGCCTGCAGCAGTGAGAGGCCTTCTTTTTCTCTCAGCTTTCAGAGAGCTAGAGGTAGAAATTAGAGGCATGTGGGAGCGAGGTGTCATATCTCCTCGAGTGGAACTCACAACAGGGGAACACAAAGGACAAAAATTACATTTGTGTGAAAGCGACTAACTAGAACATAAATTCTTTCTGAGTATGAACTGCAGCCTTTCCAAAGCGTTGGCATCTGAGCATCACAGCCCCAGAGCTGTGCAGAGGCTGAGAGCACTACAGAACAATGTGCAGATGATGAGTCGTCATGCTGCAGCTCTCAGGGTGAGCCCTCTTGTTCTTCGGTCAGAGGGGCGCCTCCTGGATGTCTCCAAATCTGTCTAACGCATGAGCTGTGGCGCAGCCCAACAGCCAATCAGAGAGCAGCTCCATTTTTCCTACACCGGATGCTTCCATTATAGCTTCTCTATGGGCTCCTGTAGTGAGACATAATAGCTCATTTACAGCCTTGACAGAAGCAAAGCCCCATCTGGAGAAAAGTTGTGTCAAAGGAAGTCATCTTTCTTCTCACGCGAGGGACGTATGTCTACACTACACATTGCATACAGCATTTTAAAGAAATACACTTTCAGTCAAAAGTTTGGACACACCTCATTCTATGTTTTGTTTACAGTTACTACTTTCTACATTGTATATCCATGGGTTTCAGAATGATGAAAAATGATGACTGTTGTCATAGTGATGAACAATTTAAAAAAATCTATCTTTTGAATGGGAAAAAGTCCTCAAAATGTTGCACATAAGAGGAAGCTAAAAACTGAAGATATCACATTTAAACCAAGATACAAAAAAAAAAAAAAGTTTACAGTTTTATATTTCAGATTCAAAATCTTCAAAGATCCCTTTATTGACAGTGCTGCAAACCTTTGGCCTATCAGTGAGCTTCATGATGCAGGCACCTGAAATGGTTTTCACTTCACAAGTGTGCCTTGTCAAGGTTCATTAGTGGAAAGCCTTAAGTGTGTAAAGCGTTGATCAAAACAAACGGTAATGAAAGACTAAATGAAAAAATGTTTCCAAACTTTTGGCTAGTTTAAACTGGGTTTATATGCACAAGAACACGAAGACCAACTTGACGAAATCAAAGCTAAAGATGAATGGCACATGATGAAAGTGGGGAGAATATGCCTAGAGAGAGAATGCAGTGTTTAGTGGGAGTTTTGGTGGCAGAAGGCGATGGGTGACCGTGGACATGTCTGGATGACCCTACAGGGCTCCCATATGCCAGACAGATGCCACGTTTGGTGAGCAGTGGCCGATGACAGTGGCGGATCTCTAAAATGCTGCCAAAAGAATGTGCTGTCCCCAAAGCTCTGTGTGTGAGGGATTACTTCTTCAGCCATTTTGGACTTCTGATAGACTTCCGCACTTACAGGATCGTGACTGGAGAGTTTAAGATGATCAAAATCAATATGCTGCAACAGTGCTTGGGGAAGACAAAAGTTCCAGCAAAAATCTGTTTAGTAAATCAACTTTGTCTATTAAAATTTCAAATTGACAGATGGATCATAAACGTATGAACTGTTTGAGAGTTAACAATCGGCTTGTTACAACACTCATCTGCTTTATGTAAGTTAAATTTCGTTTTTGTTTCGAGTAACCCCAATGATTTGTGTCACCCTCTGAGGGCCCCTAACTTGGATACTAGGTAAATAAATCACTTATATACACATATTTTGTGTATATGAGTGTTTGTGTAGAACCCCCCAAGTGTGCCCATACCCCTGTTTGCAAACACTGTTATGTAGCCTCAGCAGAAACAGGCCAGGACAGAGTAGATATCTTTGCTAAGTGGTCGATAGTAATCTAATCTAGGTTTTAGATGGTTTGGTCATCATCATCAAACTTTTAGAATGCTCCCTACAAATCAAGTATTATTAGTTAGGAATATTGTTAAACTCCACTGTCTCCATGGAGCTTGTTTTTGGGCGAGCTGAAGCACAGGTGGTGTCTCTGGTGTTTTGGCTGTGTGTGTGTCTGTCTGGTTGTGAATCTGTCTGGCTGTGTGCATTTGTTCGTCTTTCTCCACACACATTGGCCTGAGCCGTGCCCAGGTCCAGGTGGCGTTCTGGAGACGGTAGTGTGAACGTGAGATCTATGACAGGACTCCCGAAGACAGCGTTGCGACAGGTTGCGCGCGGTTGGTGCGTAGGTGAGCGGCCTCTTTTTGATTTCACACCATGCTAAAACGGCATTGCTAACCAGATTCTGGACAGAGCATGTCTGAAAAGCAAGTGAATAATCAAAGCACTGGGTCTGCTCTTTTGGACTTGAGTATAAGAAAAATGCATAAGGAATTATCATTTGTAGCTCCTGCTGAACATAGAGATAAAGGCTGTATTCTGTTAGTTTAAAACAAATTCATCAAAAATCTATGAAACCAACACAGAGCAACAAGACGGTTGAATTTATTTGTGGTTCAAGGTTTATTGATCGATCATAAATGTTTGATTCAAATTCACTTAGTCTTGAAAACAGATAAATTGGTTTTCTATATTAATTTCCTGAAAAGACAAACTTTTAATTATTGCCATAAAAGATAAAATTTCTTTCCCAATGTCAGCAGATTAAAAAGACCATATCAATGATTAGAAATTACCATTTTCATTATTTACACAGCCCTAGCTTCTACTACATGCAACGTTCTCTCACTGACTGTAAAAATATCTCTTAAAGCGATGTCAAAGCTGCTGCGTGCACTGGTTTTACTGGGATTGCACCATGTTGCACATTGGTCCCTACAGCGTGCCTGTCAAAGGAGATTAGGAGCCTGTGAGAATGTGGGATGACAAAGCCAGCAGCAGGGGTCCATGGCACAGCACCTAGGTCATGTTCAAAGACATTCAGCTAATGTAGGCTCTGAGCATGCTACATACCCTCAGAGGAGCAGAGCAAAAAAACATTTGTAAGACAAATGTAAATTTAATATTCACAATTACAACCTATGCTAATCTCTCCTGCTTTGTTCTTAAAGATTTAGTTTGATATGTTGTAAAGACTAATGCACTATTGGGAGCAGTGGGGTCAATGCTTTGCTAAGATTAATGTGCATGCCTGTGGTCCGTTGCAGAGTGGCAGAATATGTCCAGTAAAAAAGCCCATCCCTAACTCTACTTGTAAATTAGGTATTGAGCCACTGGTGGGGAGCAGTCATGCTGTCGTATCCCCATGAAATTCAGATGCTAAATGTGTGTGCGTGCGTAGGTCCATGTGTGTGTGCCCTATGGTGCCGGGCGCTGTGAGGCTCCTGATGGGCCGTGACAGGCAGTGGGGTTGAACAGAGAGGGCAGTGGGCTGAAAGGCGCTCGATTGGTGGTCCGGTTACGCTAAAAGCCTTTCCAGGATGACACATTTACAAGTTTACTGGCCACAGTGATGGCTACAGAAACATTATCCACAGATCTGTATTTGTTTTTAAAATGTTAAGGAACAAAAGCAAGTGTATATGTTAGGGGACAGTAAGGGTGCTTTCTTCTGGAAGCCACAACAGCACTGACATGATAAAGCCTGTTTGCCCACGAGGCCTCATTTTGTTACAGTGAACCTACTGAAGAGAAACACAAGATTCCCAAGAGGCGTATCATCAGTGTCCGAACCAGTGGCTTAGCAGTGTGGAGGCACAAGACTACATCTCCTGAGCCAGAGAATGTGCACCAAACAGCAGCGGCGCACTTTGATAGATGAAACAAGCCATCCCCGGAGGCACACTTTGTGTGTGTGAGTCGCTTCCTGATTTCCTGTATGGATTACACACATGCAGCCTCATTTGTACTAACGCTTCTCAGTGTGCCATTTTATCTTCATTGATGATTTCAACCCCCATTAGCACAATTACTGCGAATGGGACAGCTGCACTATTAACTATACTGGGAATCTGCAATAGCTGTAAGCAAACTATGGCTACCCATGAGGCAGTTTAAGTATAAAAAGAAAAAATGCATTACATGTTAGTTGCCATTTAAAGGCTGCCATACTGGCCTCTAAATGATATGCACTACTTAAAAGAGCTGCTGAGCACTCATACATGAAAAAGCAAGGCCTCAGTGTAAATACATTAGCAAAAATAAGATAAAAGGAGACCAAAACTACAGTTCCCAAGAGGCTACTGCTGGGTAATTAAAACTCCTGTTTCACTGTTGTAGAGGAACAGCACAGCTGTTAATCTGCCTTCTGCTGACACAAACACTACATTACCTTTATAACAAAGCCAGTCTTTATAACCAGTGCACTCCAGTGTGTGCTGGTAAAGGCCTTTTTTCTTTAAATAATGCTTGCTACAACTAGACCTAGTTCAATACAGCAGGCAGCATCACTGTTGGTGGCTGATAATAATTGGACTGGTAAGGCAATGACAGACACTTGCAGAAGTAATTGACTTGTAATTAGCAATGGGAGATTATTAGCTCGTAGCGCTAATGAACTTAGGAGACATCCACTCATGTCAGTTAGCAGAGGTGACTGGGCGAGACGGGGAGCATGTGGACGTTTGTTTGCCATGTTGTTGTCTGCTGCTGACAGGGAACACCGGCCAGACCAGCAGAGCACGAAAGATGTGTTAACAGCCATCTTTTCTGCAGGATGTAGTGACACTATATCTGGCACAACGGTACTATCAGGGCCAAAATCAACTGACTGGCATTTTATATAGAGATAGAAAAATGCAGCATTAAGAACATTTTTGGCTTACACCACTAGCAGTGAGTGGCATCGCACTTGATATTTACACCCAGCATGCTTAAAACTACTCGCAGCAGAGAGGCTGTTATTTTATGCCATATTTCATTTGTCAGACCAAATGTTTGACAGGCTAGTCACTTCTCTGCCACCCAAGCACAGCAATTACTGTTGTTTTTACAACAACCCATTTTAATGATCAACATTGTGTATCTGTTAAACCGTTTGGTCAGAAGCCTCAACAACAGACAAGAGCACAACCACCACTTACAACAAAAAAAATGCCCCATTTGTCTTGAGAGCCTTAGGATAATGGAGCAACAATATCACTGACTGATTACAATATGAAGACCTCTAAACATACTTTAAACAATAAGTCCATGAAGTGCATGTGGAAGAGCTTATGTATATGTATATTATGGGATATACATGCCCTAATTCCATAGATTCATTTCTGGGTCATGGCCTTTTACATGACGCACTTCATTCATCCCCAATCAGAGGACAGCAAATGATAAAAGTGCATCTGTCTTAAAACTGTACACCGATATTTACCCAGAGCCATTCATCTAGTGTAGGTTAAATGTGATTTATACTGGAAAAATAAATAAGATAAAAGAAGTGCCATGAAAACTACTGAACTGAAAAGAACCAAAATGGTGGAGATATAAAGGACAAGTTAGTTTTACAATGAATCATAGGCAGTGAGTGGAGGGACAGCAGCCTATGCAGACAAAAAACTACACAAGATCGTACACTATCTAAAAAATAAAACCAAAAGGAAAAATGGGGGCAGTGGCCCTGAGATCAACAAAAGGTTTCTTTGAACAGTGCTCTCGTCTTCAGACCCAGAGAGATATTACTGTGTGTTGTTGCACAAAGAACAGCAGCATCCATTTAATGAATCCGAGTCAGAGATGTGCATTCACAAATATAGTTAAAGTGGACTCAGCAAAACAAAAGAGTTCTAGGATTGTTTTTCACTGATCAGATGATTGATCAACTTGTACTTTACAGTGTCTTGGTTATGTTTTAAGTGTGCTATAAAGCAAAAAGCTGTACCTCATCTTGTAATGATGACACAGAAAAAGCTCTTTCCATTAAGACACAGATATCTCTTACAAGTACACAAAAGACTACTGCTGTGAATAATGTTTTGTGATGCTTTGCCTGGAATATTCCCCAGCATGGCACTAAAGTTGTCACCATAGAGACAAGCAAGGGGCGCTACCAGGCCTATTTTTTTTGCCAGAACATCTCCATGGAGACAACCAGAACAGTTACATATTACAGCTTTTAGCAACAGCACTGCAATACAATTGATTATACTTAAGAGTTACTAAGCTCGGTCATTTAGGTGTTAAAAAATGTCAAGTGTTGTCAATAAGAGTTCTATGAAACAAGAACACGGTACGAGAATCCATTTCAGAACCACTTCGGAACAAATCCTCAATCTATGGAGTCTGTAGGCCTATTAGTGGAATGAGTGCATAGGCTTAATCACTGTCTGTTCTCTATAGGGCCCATTACTCTGACAGTGCATTATAGTCTCAGGCTACCCTTTAGAGGTCAGAGGTCAAAACACTCTTACAATGATGCACAGGGCTTTATTGACCGCCTCCCCGACCTGAGAGGGGCTGTTATTGGTGCTACACAAAAATGAGTTGGTACTCAGCATGCCATGAGCGAGTGAGCAAAGTGCGTAGATGCAATTTGGCTTTTCTCCCGGTCTATAATTTACATGAATATTCATTTAAATTTGATTATGAAGTACTTTGTAATGTGGATTATTTTTCCATTCTTTTGTTGCGTTTCAATTTTTAAATAAATGACAGTGACTAATAAGAGCGGTGAGCAGTAGCAGTAATTGCGGAGAGAATGAATTTGCCTCATTTTTCTTTATCTTTCATGTACAGAGTCACTTTGAGAGTGCTAGTTAAATTATCATAAAGAGTAGAAATAAAAGCGTGAGCAATATGTCGACCGAATGGCCTGTTAAACTAAAACTGAAAAGGTGTGCTTCACTGATTGACAAGAACGTGGACATTTCACAAACTACAATACCTGTGAGCATTTAGTGTAATACAAGCAAAGATGTCAAACTCTGCTACTCAAGAGCACCACATTGATTAATGAGCTGTCATAATATGCCAACAGACAAATCAATAGAGTACAACTGTATGGTATAGCGCTTATTGCTTTCACTAACATTGGGCACATTTACAAAGCCAGTAAAAATCAGACAACCAGAATAAGCCTATATTTTTATGTTTACTTTATATGCACAAATCTGATCATCAAGTACATCTGGCGACATGTGTAGGTTATTCAGTGGAGTGTTTTTTTCCTGTCACATTAGTTTGCCCTTTTTTCCATAACGTTCCTTGTCAAAACCTGCACATGTGTGATCAGATGCAACTGTTAACATGGCATTTCAATAATGTAATACCTCCCAAAATCCAATAATGATCTGATTTTGGGTGTCCATGGAAACACAGCCGCTGTCTGCATTTTGACTTCCACTCACCATCTTCTGCAGGTGCTTCTCTTTGCGCACGTCCACCATCACTAAGCCCTCTTTGACCAGGCCCAGTCCCACATCCTCCTTTGTGTCTGCGAACTGTATCGTGACATGAGGGCAGGCTGCTCCGGAGTACTCCATGTTTAGCAGGCATTGGCTGTTGTGAATGTCCCGCACGATGCAGTCCACCACATCCGCCCGGGCATCCTCCTATAGACCAAAAGAACAGGATAATTGGCGGCTGATTGCTAAATTGCATAATAATACACAAATCTAAACATAAAAAGCTGATGTAAACAAGTTAAATATGCATCGTTTCATTATGTTATATTATGTTAAGGGGGAGTTAAAGATAAACAAAATCTTAACAGGAAAAACCAGGGCTAGTTCATACATAATGCGCCAGCTGTGAAGCAATCAAAGCGGCGTTGAACCACTTGGAAAAGATTGAAGTTCTCTGGAAGCGCTAAACGGCTTCACCCACTCTCCCCGCATGGCATTCTTTTGTTCTCCTCCCATTTTGCTGTTGGATTTCTCGCCCTCTGCTACCCTCAACCTTCTTCTCTATAAAGGCCAGGGTTTGATTGAACAAAGTGTAGAAGATGATGGAGCAGACTATGGTGTAATTTGACCCCACATCCTCCAGAAGTGAGACTCAGAAAAAAACAAAAAACAAAACAAGGGTGCGGCATCTTCAAATACAGAAAGACACTTAAAAACAAAAATCATTCTCTGGTCATCATCCATCTCTCCTCTTCCCTCTCTCTTCCTCACCCTGGTCTTGTCTCCATAGCAACCCCCTTCGAGCTGGCTGCCCTTGGGTACGTACGCGTCTGCTGTATGTGTGAGCGTAGCGTGTGTGGGCAGGGGAGAGCTTGTTGGAGCCACAAAACGAAGGGTTGCTTTTTGTCCCCTGCGCTCTCCCTGTGGTTAAACTTGTCAGAAGCACTGCGGGAAAGCTCCAAGGGGCGAGGGTGGGCAGGGAGCGGGACACTGGACAAACTGAATATTCTACGTGTGAGATTCCAGGACTTTTTGTTGTGAGGCCAAATGAGAATAACTGACCTGATTTATACTTAGAATGGTGTGTTGGGAAGCACATGTACAGTAGATGTCAACTAATACAGGAGTAACTAAGAAAATAGCATTGTATGGCTCTTTAACTAGTTAACTACAGAGAGGGGAAATATTAAAACACTTCTCGTCAAATCCTTGCTGCCTAGTGGTGCAAAATAACAGATGATTGTGTAAAAAAAAAATTTCTTTTCAAAGAACCAAAGAGAAAAGTTGTAAAAGCAGTGACTAAAGACAGAAAGCAGCACTTTAAAGGCTGCCAAATGCCAAACAAGGCACATGAAAGTGTAAAAATGTACTGTTTTTACACTTTGAATTGAGTGGGTTGTTACCATCATCTGTGGTTGAGTTTGAAAATTAAAGATTATTAAAGAAAAAAAAAGTTGAATGTTTAGGCTCCATTACAAACTATTCTGAGCAAGGCAGCAAGCAGTAATATTCAAGCTTTATCATGGACATTGGAAGTGTACTGAAAACAGCAAACAACTTGACCTGGGGGGTATAAGATCAGTGCCTTAACAAATCCAGGCTTATCCTGAAATCCTAAAATGAATCTAGCTCCATCTTTAGCTTAAAGAAATAAGCCTGAGTCTGACCAAAGCTAACTCAGGCTTAAAGTTTAAGTTGCGCTTTGTGTTCACTCATGGCAACTTTGGGCAGGCCAGAGCAATGGAGCAACAACGACACGGAAAATGGGTAAAAAATATGTTTTTTATGAACTGACTAAACGAGAGGGGAGCCACAGTGTGCACCTGCACAGAACTTTTCCGGTCATTCTGCTCTGAGGAGCTAGAGGAAAAACACATTGCCCCCCTCCTCTCCCGGTCACTCCGTGGGTAGAAGGGAGGCTGGCTGCGGAGTGCGGACTCCGGAGCCTGGTTAATATGCCTGGGAAATTAAGTTGCCTCACCCCTTCCTGATGCCCAGTAGTAAGTTATTACCATTACTTTTATATAATGTCCCAACTTGTTAATTAAACAAAAATCAGTGGGTCAAATCAAATGTTAGGCAGGTATTCTTCAAGGAAAAGGTAAGTAGACTTGAAAAAATTGAAAAATAGAAAAAACTAGAAGGACCAAGGCACTTTGATAGTAAAAGTCCTTTATTTAGGAGAAGTGGACATACCAGAACGGTTCAACCATCAAAAGGTTTTCAGGGGAAACTAAGATTTAAAAAGCCTCCAGATGGCCTTAAATGTTGGAACATGCTCATGTGAGGAAAAGTGACCACCCTCAAAAGTGAACACACCTCAAAAGAATACATTACAACTGGTTACAACACTTGCTGGCTACTTGTAGTTGAGTACTATATGTGAACACTAATAGGTGTGGGTACTCACTAATGCTAAAAGCTATACAGTATTCATATATTCATTCATAGTGATGGAGTGGTTACTTTGCCTCACATGGCCACCTCACGTGACCATGTTCCTACATTTAAGGCTACATGGTGGCTTTTTAAATCTTCATATTTTTCCCAAAGAAGACCACTTAGTGGTTGAAATGCATTGGCATGTTTTTGCCTAAATAAAGGACCTTTACTGTAAGTCTGGATGCCTTGGATTTGTTAGAATTGGAGTTTTAAAATTTAAAAAGAGAAAGCAATCAGGGGGTAAAGAAGAGTAATGTACAAGATGTGTGCCCTCTTCTAGCCCATGGTCAGCCCTGTGGTCAGTCTTGTGTGTTTGGTGTGTCTGGGGGCTCTAAAGTGGAGGTGATGCCTGCCTCCCCTGGGCTGACCAACAGATGGGCCACTTCATCCTTCAGGAGACTTGAGTCATGAGACAGGTGACAGTACACACACATTGGGTTTCCATGGTTTGTAGGGACATTACATTCACTTACATAACACGCACAAACACATGGAGCTTCTACAGAGCCAAAGCCTTTGATTCTCTGCCAATGGGAGGCCAGCCAGTCTAAAATATGTTGGAAAAACTGTCATAACATAGTATGTGTACAAATACTAATAACAATATGTGAGACACAGAACAGAAAGTGCAATTTTTATACCCATACATACACTGTGTCCTTGGTTCATAACAAACCATTCCAGGATAATTCATTCAGCACTCTTTATGGTGTTACATAAGACTAACAACCTGAAAATGTTTCTGAAATAAAGTATAGGGTCTCAATTCAATTTGACTGGAAGATGAAAAAGATAAAAAGGTAATCATATTGTATCTAAAACTGATCCTTTTAAATCTATCTACACATTATTGTAGGCCCCTCGAGAACCAAGACAATCATCAAAACTTTGAATTATTTGGTTAAATAAAAGCATCAAAAATAGTGTGTAGAATTTCAATGTTGTTTCAGCAGCAAAAACGCCTCACACTGACTCTACTCTGAATGAATATTGGGGCACTATGTCCTTGTCCTTTACAGCTAATAAAATAAAACTGAAGCAAAACAATTAATCTAATCACCATGCAAGATGCCTGCAAACTGGTACACATCAGCAGTGTCCCAAATGCCCATTAAATTTAATTAATAACACTCTAAAACACTTACAGTGCTATAAATTATACATACTGAGGATTTACTGTGGGACATTTATTTAGCATGCATTGTAATAAATAATGGTAAAAATAAATTAAAAAATGAAGGTAGAGCACTAATTATTTTGAAACCCGTGACATCAAAAATAATGGTGAGGACATTTACCTGCACTAAATAAAACTAATAGCCTCCCAGATAAAGCTAATTAAAGCAGATATTGAATACTGTGTCAGCCAAGATCACGCAGATTAAAAACATGAGCTACGCATACACACTGCAGGCAATCAGCAGGCTTCAAATGAGTTGACCCTCTGATGCACAAAAAAGTCCCGTGTACACACAAACACACACACACACACACACACACGACTGGTCTCCTGGGTTAACTAAACACTCCAAGTAAACAAGAAGATTAGGTACAGAGGGAGAAGAATGCTATTGCTTAGCTATTAAATGCACTTCACTGTATACCTTAGCCTCTTACTATGGTGGGCATGTGTCAAGGTTGAATTTACCTTTTTAACATCCTACTGTCAGAGAATGCTAATTATTTCTGGAGTTTGTACATCACTAGAGTTGTTCGCCATTGGTTTGTCTGCTTAGCTCTGCATGCATTATGTATAAGCAGAGATTTACAAACTTGAAATGAAGACTCAACCCAGTCTGACAGCTTGAGACTGATATGAGTAGGAGTTTTTTGCTTATATTTTCAAAATTTGACTGAAACCTAAGAAATTTTATGTTAAAAAAGAGGTTTTCATATGGTGCACTTCTGCTGTTTTGAGTGTACTTACATCCTGTGGCACTTGGATGAAGGCGAAGGCATATTCGGTGGCCTGTGCGGGCAGGGTCCTGGTACTGAAGGCTGGGGGCATGGCGGCCAGACGGGTGCTAGACACTACCTCCCTCTGAAAGACCAAAGGAGGATGCAAAGTAAGACATGCAGGTAGTATTGATAAAATGCACAGGAGACGTTGTCCATGATATATTTAATTTAGGAATAGTGTGATTTCTATGTCAACATGTATATATGTAGTATGTAGTAACACTATCATTTGTCAGACACCATATTAAGTCCCACATGTCATTTGAAAGATCATACAGAGAATGGACAGATGCTGATTTGCTGTTTAAATGCTGACTGCTTGTACTGCATGTATCACCTTAAAGTCATAGCCCAGCTGTTTGTGCAGCGGTACACAGGGTGCTTTCAGTAAGCCCCATCTGCTTCAGCGCGCAGATAAAAGCACAAGTCAAACTGCGGTCGGATCACACCAATGACAAAAGCACAGAGATGCTCTGGTGACATGAGCATTTAAACTGCTGATGGCCAAAGAGGATTTTAACTCATGGATTTCAAAAGCCTAACAGTAAACTGCTGTGGTTGCATATGTATACTATTAGTTTTGAGTGCAACAGTAAAAATACAATTTCATATTCTTTTACTTATCGACGTGGGCAGTTTTTGACACCACTATTTCACATATATATTGTGCACGTGAAGGGTGATAAATGGCCATATCTTGTTTTGGTACCCAGGAATAATGACTTTGACATTATAAATATTGTGGGGCACAAACTTTTCAAATGTTAAAATAAATGTCTAAATAAGGTGTATTTGGGAAAGCTAAAAGTGAACTGAGTGGCAGAAAACAAAGAAAAACATTAGAAAGGGGAGCCAATGTGATGACCCTCATAACTTAGGTTAATGTGTTCACTGGACTGTGCCGTCTAGACTGGGTTTCTCTTGAACATTAAAATTTACTCAAGCCATATTAGCTTCTGACAGCAGTGTAAGTAATTTATAATAAAAGACAATTGCGCTGCTGATCTAGAGCACTAGCTAATAATCATATTTTGTACTACGAGTGCTGACAGGTCAAGTTTGCAAAGATATTACAGGCTAATAGGACTTGACACAGAATTCATGTAGGTCTGAAGGAGTCAACACTGTCAGTGTAAGGGTGTACTCTGATATCTCCATTTTAGTCTGTGCTAGGGCGGCCTCGGAGAATCACACTTTGTGCAACGTGCCAAAACATATTGTGTCTGCCAGCCAAACCTCAGCCATCACCATTTAAGGTCAGTCACACAGAGAGCCACTCCAATGGATCATGGGAAATTTACCAAACGCCGAAGGCTGCCTAGCTGAACATGTCATTCTCTAAAGTTTGTGTGCACTGGGAAATCCAAAAATCCTCAGAAATAAAGAGCACTATTTTGATCGTTGCTATAAAAAGCGAAAAAAGTTATGCTCAGTGGCATGACAAACAAAGCAAAACAAACAAGCTTGTATTGTATTTGCCGGAAATCTCCAGCCGCTTAGACACATGTTGCCAGTTATATCCCTTTGAATACCAAATATAACAAACAAATGCTGACTGAAAACACTGAAGAAGTAGACGAAAACTATCTCTGGAGAGGCTCCCTCCAGCTATTTAGCTTTAGCCCAAATAAAACTTTGATACCCCTTCTGTTTTGATCCAACTATAAATGAATTAATTGCAACACAGTATACTCACATTGCCATAATCAATGTAGAAGACGTGGACCTTTGAAGGCGACTCAACTTTCTCCACTCGTGCCCGATACCTGTAATGACACCACCAGAGAAATTGAGAAAAAAGGGGCAGACATGCACAGATGGAGAGTGAGAGACAGAGAGAGAGAAAGGAGAAGAGATGAAAGAGGGAAAAAAAAGAAAGGAAGAGAGAGAGGGATGGATACAGAAAGGAGAGAGAGCAAAGGAAGATGAGTAAATGATTCCATGCTTATTTCCCTGGGGAGCAGCTGTTGGATGGTGTGTCTGTTGTGATCGGGGGAGAGCAGTGTCAAGCGATGAACGAACTGGGGAGTAGGAGGGGACACTGAATCTATCTGGACACACTGTGGGCTGGGCTGGGAAATTGCACCGAGGCCTCATTGCAATAAAGGGCAGATATTTAGACACGATTTCTCCCTACAGCTAATGTCTTTAGTGTACCCCGAGTTGAACCCAAAATGCATTTGCTGAGTGTTTATGTAGAGATAAGCATTTTACAAGGGCAAACCCAGGCACCAATTAAATAAAATGGGATCAAGATGCGTATGACAGAACTATCATAACAGATTACTGGTATTTGACAGTTTAGAAAGTGCTAAATTTGTTTATGGGATGTAGCTTGTGTTGAGCAATGAGAATATTAAATGCTTTGAAATGTTTGAACTGCACTTTTCCTTTAGGTGTAAGTTTTGGCACAATATGATTTTTTTTTTTTTTATGCAAAAAGAAATTAATATGTATTTGTATGAATACTTAAAATACAACCATATATAACCTTATGGAAGTTGCCACCTGTTAAGCCCCAGGAAGATTTTGTATTGAAAAAACAAAACAAAAAATTAATTGTCAGATACATTACAACATCTGATGACAATAAACGCGCAATATTTAGTGCATAAATCAAGAATCTTTGAAAGTGCTAACAAAGTGCTAACAGACGCTAACCTAGCACAACACAACAACACCACAGGAAGAGTTGGCTTTTTTATGCATTTTATGCGTTAAGTTCAGAAAGTGCCTCTCCATCTGACCATCATTTGTCGGTCTTTGGACAAACAAATGAGAGTGAAGAAGACAAATTGGCTGAGAACCAAGGACGCCAGGAGAAAAGCTAAATAATTAGGTCCACATGGGCAAAGGGAGAGAACAAGAGAACAAAGTTAAACTGAATACGTGATTAACAGGGAGACATAAAACAGTGCGGTGGAGAGCAGCGCGTGAAAGAGCCACAGACAAAGTGCGAGCGAGTTGATGAACAAAGTCTCCCACTTTCTATTCACTTTGACTGTGTGTCGTAAAAGGGCCTTGAAAAGCGACACAATTCTAATTAGCCCCTAATCAAACTAGCAGACATTCCACATGCATCACAGAATACAAAGATATAGACAGAACAATGCCAACATGAACATAATTAGCCACTCTTTATAACAGACTTCCACGCGGACACCAATCCATAGCAACAAGATTATTATGCTCTTAAATGTAATTAGGTAATCAACCATTGTTAAAAAGAGATGACAATATTAATTTATTGTGAGATGTCAGTAATAATAGTTACTGTAGGAAAAAGTGTCCTGAAATATATTAAACATTTTACTGGTATATATAAAGTTAATTAGGATCCTGAAAGCAACTTTTTCCAAAAAGCCTAAATCAGTGACAAAAGCCGATTCCGTGAATTTTTGCTTAGACTTATATAAAGTAATAAATGTTAATGAATATATTATTTATAGCAATGAAACATACCATTCTCCATCGGCAAACTTGGCTAGGCAGTAGTCCCCCCTACGTGCAGAGTAGGATCCTTCCACTGGCGGCTGGGCTGCGATCTCTGCTCTCATGGTCTCCATTAGACTCTCCAACTGGGCCCCTGAAAACAAATACAACTTATGTAAGTATACATATGTTCTGCTTATTTAATTCAAACATCTTCATTCCTTTTGCATCCCTTATCTTTATAAATATAATTTTTTGTGAATTTAAAATACCCTACTGAAAGACAGAATTGTTTGTTCAGTATTAAATGTGTAATTATCTGTTTCAATAAATTCACAGCAGTCACAATTTTCTTGGCTTTTCATAACTTAAACTGTTCTAAAAGGTGTAAAGAGATAATACAAAGTTTCTGCCCATATGCTCAATTACAGTACATCTTCAACACAAACCTGAACTTAGGCTCAAAGGAAAGGTGTTCTATCTGTAGTTTCGCAGCTGTTAGCCTGTTAGCAGTACACCACTAATGCCGGTTTGACCCTGTTGAAGAAATACTTAGTGTAAAGCGAGCCAATCCTCTCCAAACAAGCCAAAATCATCTAGTGCAGCAGCCCTATTCTATGAGACTGGGAGCCCAAACATGGGTGCTGATGTGGAGGGAGAACGGGCTGGTGACTAAGAGCTCCTGGATGGATTCAATGACTTCAGCGACAGTTAAGTGGCAGTCTAATTTGTACACATCAGCCGCACTTGTCAACCGAGTAGTTTTAGAGTGGCACTTCCTCGTGTTTGTGTAAGATGGCAGGTTTGTATTTAGATGCAGAATGTTTAAGGAAACAGGTGCATTTCTGTTTAGGGCCCAACTTTGTGAATCCACAGTAACACATAAATGCTTTAAATGTGCATTTAAAAAGAAGTGGGCAAAATATTCATGGTATTTCAGTCTCATGGCTTTTAAATGACTTAAGCATAAAAATTACTAGAATATATTGTGTGTTAATAGTTCATTGCCATGGATAATTTTTTCCCTGGTCTGAAACCAATGAATGAGTCAAATCATGGATTTTCTAGGTAGAACCAGAAGAGAAGAGTTAAAAAAAAAAAAAAAAAAAAAGCTAAATTCTCAACAAGGTTAATTCAGATGAAGTCTTAATCTAGTACTAAGACATTGTTCAACTTCTATCAAAGTAAAAAGTTGAGGTATTTGGGGAGACTTTGGTGAAAAACAAGTATTCGGTCGATGTACAAAAGGCAGCAGGGTGCTGGATTATGGAGTCAGAGGGTCAGGGCAGGAGCATGGAGACAGGGCTCTGAACACTCCTCATGGACTCCTACTGCTACACCAACTGCTGATGGACACGTGGAGGATACATGGATTTAACAAAAACAACAACCTTCACTGTTTTGCAGAGACTGCACTTTTTGGGAAACCTCTGATAAATTGTCCAGGTCCTAATGTCCACAGGAAGTCAGCTCACATCATTATGCTCCATTTTTTGCCTGAGCGTTTTGGTGCAGAGTTAGTAAAATGTCACAGGCACAGTCAGTCTGCTCAGTGATTTATTAATCTAATTAAAAAAGTTAGTGTGTTCTCCGCTCTGATCCAAGTGTGGAAAGTGTGTGTTTCAGGTGCTTTAATATGTCCTCTAACATAGTCATCTGCACCACTTTCCTCTTAAGATTTAAATAAATTACACTTTTAATGGGGATCCTCTTGTATATGACTGTATACATTTTGCATGAATATGTGATGTGCTTTAGGTCATTTCTCAATACTTTATTAATGTAAAAAGTTTTAATACAGGATTCGGTGAAGAAGCAGCTGCTTGGAAAACTGGTAGGGAGTTGTAGGCACCAAATGTTCCAGTGTATTTTGTTGGCCAGATGGTCTCAAGAATTGGTACAAAAACCATGAGTTGAACAGATCTCAAATAACACTTCTAATGCCAACATGCTGTTTCTTATTCCATCACCTGCAACGCGACAAGGTGCACTTTCCAATTATATATTAATCACTTTATTGTGTTTTCACACCTTCTTTTGCAAAGGCCTATTGTTTAATTTTTCACAAGGACTATTACTTTTTACATACTGAAAAGTTAAGTAAAAGTTTCCTCTAAAAGTTGCAGTCTGTTGCCTGTGTATCTGTGTGTTAGACAAATGAGCATGCCAAACTTTAAAAAAAAAAAAAGCCTGACCATACAAATATGGTTTATAAAAGTATAATATAATATGTTGGCTCAGTACAGAAATTCATCTTCTGACCCACCTGCCAATGAAGCAACAATGCTAGCCACTCAGCTAAAGTAAAGTATAACCTGTTCTTTTGACCAAATTAGTATTGCCACACCACTATTAGTACAATGCATAATATTTTGAAAATGTTACAAAAGCTGTATTTGTGCAGGTTTGGTATAGATTATGCAAAACATCAATCATAATGCGCATAACTAGTACATGTGTAAATTACAGGATTTGGCTTTCAGAGAATGAACTTCAATTTTCTAACAATAAATCCGGTCTAAGAATCGAGTAATAAGACGTATTAACATATATTTACACAACAAAAGCAAACCTACATTGTCATGCAAAACACAGTAGCCCATAACAATTTTCAAACTGAGAAACCAGGCCAGATAGATAAGTAAGTGGATGTACTGTAAATAGTCAAAGGAGGAAGCATTAGAGAAACAGAGGCCAATCTGAAGCTGGCTTTAAACAACTTAATATCTGTGCACAGAAGGGCTAAACTATGTCAAGCATCGAAGCTCATTTTGTGTTGAGTGGCGAGCCAAAGCAATGATCCAAAAAACAGCTGAAGCGCTGATGCATCTCACGCTGGCCAATTTCTGTCTTCATCTCTTTATTCCTCTGTCTTTGCACTCACTCATTCTGTAATTTGTTTATACACCATTATTGCTGCAGCTGTTTGTAAATCATATACAATTACACAGCGAAATGCCCAGTACAGAGAAAAGAAGTGCTTGTATTTGGGGGGGGAACTACGAGAGCAATACTGACAATACTTGTACAGATTAAGTGGATTTATAACTGCACTCGGAGCAGTTGTAAAAGAGGTGTGAATAAAGTTAAATGACAGTATTCAGTAGTAGCGTTAGGCACAGACAAATGACCAATAAAGAAAAATCAGACTGCTTTTATATAGTTCAAAATGAAGTGCAAAAAGTTTCAGCTCTTTCTCTGGTAGAGTGCACCAAGAGTACAGAAACATGGGGATGGTGTGCTGTGGACCATCTCGGAGATTTAAACTATGCTGCCTTCTGCTCACCTGTTAGTTTACACTGTTAAATATTTATAAACTTTGGCTCATTTTATTCTCAAGGCTGTTGGATGGATACATTTCAGGACATGCAAGCAGCACCTTAAACCTCCACAGTCGGTAGAGCCTGGCTTGGAGGCTCTTGTCTGTGGGCTGACTGGCTGAACCTGATGCTGTTACAAGTCTATTGGCTCTTGTGGTTGGTCAACACAAACCTGAGCTCACCTGGGGATATGTGTACGCTTTCTGAAGGCCCAGTGCGACGAGGGGGGAGCCGAGACTAGACAAAAGGCCATTACTCCCTACCCCGAGTGATTTGATGATTTTTAAAGTGCCATGAGCATCTGGTGGGCACTGGAAGAGGCCACTAAAAACAAATGACCCCATGTAGCCTGACTAATGTGGCTTAAATTTCACTAGAGGGCTGTACGCACATGGCACATCTCTTCTAACTCCTAAAATTAAAAACTATCTTGACAGACTGGTGACTTTTTTAAACAGCATTTTACCGCTTCTGTAATTGTAATCGTTACGGATAACACTAAATAGAGGTGGCAGCTGTGGCTCACTTTTGCAACTATGCCATGTCTCGCTCCTGACAAGCCTCATTGGGTACAGCTAATGTCCTGTTTTCATTGAAAGAAGTCCAAATATACCCTTAGGATGGCACAGAGATGGCCCTGGTAAAAGAAGCCCATTTGAACCAGTAAGTGGCTCATTGCTGTAAAAGTGACACTGAATCACTGAGCTCTACATAATAGACCCAAAAGATGACATTATGGTAAATCATGTGCACCAGGACAGAACCAAATGTATGAAGATGCTCATTTGCAGCACAAAATCAGAGGCCTCCACCTGAAACCGACAGGTGAGCTGACATTTTGGAAGCCAAGGCGCGTGTCTAATGTAATAATGGATGCCTTGGGAGGAGGGAGATCATCCGGGCACGCTCTGACCTCTAAAGACTCCATCTGCCACAGTGGCAGGGAGCAGTAAATTTGAACACAGCATTTGCCTCTGCTTCCTCTGCCCCATGCTATCAACAGTAACACTGGACATGAGTTTGGAGCCAATGGAGAAATGGAAAACTAGTGGTAAAAGCAGGCATTTGAAATTGAGAGCCACGTGAACTAGCAGAACCAGTCATTCGTTTAGTGTCTTCAATAAAACACTATAGTGAATGTGCTAGAGTGCAGGCTTAATTTGAGGAAGTCTACATCCACACTGACACAAAGTGTAAGAATTAAACCCTTTGTTCTCTGATTTGATAGCACCATTATGCTAGTTAACATAATCATTAATACAATTGCCACATTAAGCGCTTAGTTGCAATCCATTTCTAAAAGATCTCGGTCTGAAGTCCATTATAATGTTAATTTTGCAATTACTCCAATTACTTCATTGTCTAATGAGAATGTTCAACAAGACATGATTCTAATTCTTTGGAGAAAAGTACTTTCATTACACTGGTAGAGAGTTAATTAACCCCTTGACTGACTTGCTTATCACACGCACATGCACTGGAAGACTGCATGCCCAAAGCAAATAAAGCAGAGCTAGTCTTTTTAAATGTCACAACCTAAACATGTTGCCTGAAAGATCAACTTGTTGCATAATTGAAAAAAAACGCAGCCTAGACTGAAGTTCAGATATATTTTACATGGGATCCTCTGGTTTTTGGACAAAACATTTTGTAAAATAATTTGTAGAAATTTATTTTAAATTGAAAAGAAACATGCTCTAGTGCTGTGCAGTTAGAGCTCCTGTCTTGCTCTAGCATCATTAGGTGATGAACACCTGCTGCAAGTAAAAGGTAGAAGTGTGAATAATGTGGACGGAGTGGCACCTGGTTGGGGGGAATGAATCCACTCATTACGAGTCACTCCTGGTGCCAGGAAACAGGATGGGCCGCCAACTGGGCTGCAACACAAGCTTCAGAAAAGACCAAAATGGGGTTTCCTACTGAGGCCCAGTCAGAACACAGATCCAAGAGGTGGGACTCACAAAAGCTTTTAACACTAATATGGACGAGCCTTTGAGCGACCACATCGATAACACTGTTCATTTAACCAGAATAGAAAGAATTTAAAGTGAGTGTTTACTTTGAGCCAGTCCCAAGCCTTAAAGGTCCTCTATTATGCAACATTTTACCCTTGTGAGGTTTAAGCCATATTAGAATGCTGCTAACTCCTCAGAAACTATCATGGAGCAGTTTTTTGTTTCATTCACATGTTTCAAATTCTGCTCTGCTCCACCTTTTGATATCATGAAGAAGTAGTTTTCAAGTTAACGCTACCTTTTTACCTAAGTTCAGCAGAGATCAGCAACTTCAGATCTGAAATAAACCATTCTTGTGAAGGTGTATAGCGATTAAAAACACTGTGACCACTTCCTGTTTTACTACATGACAATACAATGTGTGTTTTCTATGTGAGAAGAACTCAGCATAAATATGCAGGGTTTGTGTGTTGTGTGTGTGTTTGTGTGAATGAAAAGCACAACTTTGGGTATGTTTCTGATGAGGAAACATTATAAAATAAAGTGTAATATGGGCCCTTGAAAAAGGAGTTGGAGTCAAGAAGGACCAAAGGGAATAAACCACCAACATAAATACAGAATCTTCATCGGGGGAAGATGATTACAACCAGAAAATGTTTTGAAGAGAATTAAAATGTGTTTATGTGAATGCATAAAGAAATTGAGCTATCTGGGGCAGGAGACAGGACTAATGTACAATGTGTAATATTTGGAGGGATTTTTTTTTAACTTAGAGCCACATTTATCTCATTTATTTGTAGATGAAGAATCTACAGCTTATGTCCACTACAAAACATGAAAACACCCCAGTTCGGGCACAATATTTTTTTTCAACACTAAAGCGCCATTATTTAGGAAGATTTTAATTATGTCGTCTGTCCGCCTTTGTATCCGGGCAACAATGATATAACACATTGAGTCATTTCTCCCGACTGTGCCTGGAGTGGGCTGTGTCTGCTGTGGTCCAAGGTCAGTGAGATCTATGCAGGTCCCCCTCTGACAGTAATTACATATGGCCTCCGGAGAGAGCAGAGAGACACGAGGTAAATAGGGAAGATGGGAGTCGGAAAAGGAGAAAGATAGGGACAAATAATGAAAAAAAGTGAGACAAAGAATAAATGAACAGAACAACAGAGGAATAGCCCAACAATCGACCATGGAAGTTTGTAATCCCCTAAGCTGTGTCTTGGAAAATTCAATGCTAACATAAAATGAGCTTGTGTAAAGATATCCATTATAGAAAACACATTTAAGAGTAATTAAATGTGAATAATTTAAATGGGGAAGAGGGTAAAAAGCAGAGCGCTTGCGCACCCTGGGGAATAAAAGATATTACATACTGCAATTTCTCCAGAGTCGATGAATCCCTCATAGATATAAAACCCAAGAGTAAGGCATGAGCTTACATCTGTACGATAAAGTCCCCTGCTTTGCATTTTTATAATTCTTGCTGGTTTTATCATTGCTACATTGTTTATATCTATTCCTGCCTATGCAGTAAAATGTGGCAAAGAATTGTTAGGATACTGGATACGGCATTTTATGCAATACACTCCTAAAACCATATTATAAATTGAATCAATATGTTTCATCTCATGTTATTAAAGAGGAAACAGCATTCCAACAGTCCTGGTTGTATTTAATCAATGTAGCAAAGTATATTTTCACTATTTACAACAATATGAAATTATTATAAGCCCTCATATACTTAGCTAAAGGGGAATTCACAGATGCACTTATTTAAGTCAAACAAAGTTTTATTCACAGTTTGCACAAAGAACATTAGGTAAGTGATGGAACAGCCAGTGCGTGTGCTATACTTCAAGGATGGTCAAGGAGTACTCCGTTAAAGTGATACCTCCATCTGGCAAATGGGGAGCTGGCAGTAATGGCAGCCAAAAGCTCTTAATTTAGAGGCTAAACTCGAGCTGTAAATTTTGAGAGAGGAAATACAGGGATGTAAGGTCCTAGGCTTTTATGGATTATGTCTTGTCATAAAGGTTTTCCCTGGTGTCGTGAGTAAAGCAGGAGAATGAAAAATGCACTTATACAAAAAGAAGCCTGTCTTAGACATGGCAACCTAATCACAAATTAGGCACATTTGTTTAACTTAACATGTTTGTGTTCATACAAATTCATTCCCAGGTGCAGGGATGCCAGAAGAGGAAGGAGCACATGTAATGTTATTGTGCAGCACTCAGCTTGTATGATTTTACAGGGTCTTACACTTTGATGTGCTCTTCAAGGCCTGGGTATGACTTAATGTAGCTTTGAGGGAGTGTCAGCGAAAATGAAAGAGGCCAAGGGAGACGGCAAGGAGGGGCAAAGCACTGATAGCGAAGCAGATGAGGAGGTGGAGGCAGGGGAAGCACTGGTCAGGTTAGGATCCCTGCTGAGAATAACACTTTAAAAAGGTGCATATACACTTCTTGGAAGATTATGGGCCAATTAAAAATAAATAAAAAAGGCCAAAGCAATGCTGGTTCATCTAAAATCATGCTTATGTATGAGAAATGATTAAACAACTTGCAACTCTTCTGTCAGAATACACCACAAGCAGATTTATGAGAAAGCACCTTGTGTACATTTTCTTTTTAAGTGTTTTACACACTTGTATGCTGTTTCCTTCTGATAGGTGCTTTATATGCAATCTATAGCATTTCTATGGAGCGTGTTTCTCATTGACAAGAGTGATGCTGAAGGCATTAACCCTGGCTGCAGGTTAACATGTGCAGTTCACTGACACGTGATGCTGATCACTGATAAACTCAAAGGGTGGCTTTGACTAACAACAGAGGAGCTGGAGTGGGGGAGGGGCCAATGGATTTAGATTCCAATCTACAGCTATGAGCAGAAGATGCACTGAAGATAGTTGGGCTCATAGTTCCAGGAGTCAAATCACAAAAATAAAAGGAAGGCCAGTTCACATGGAGGCAGAGTGCATTCACCTGATTGGATTAATATGGCACTAGTGATGTTTAAGCTCATATTGGCAGAAAGTGGAGGAAAATTAATTAATTATAGCGCTGAAGCAAATTAAGAGGTGGCCAAAGTCAATTTCATGGCCTCAGAGCATTGGAGTGCCAGTCAAACCAGATGTGAGGGCTGCCTGGGATGCCAGTGCACACATATCTATAGCACAGTAATGCTGGCACAGGATGAAGAGCCATCCATTGGCATCAGACTATTCAATGTGCTCCAGCTAGTTTGTGAATCCTAGTTAGGATTTAACTATGAGGCTGTTTGTGTACGGCAATAAAGCCACAAGGACAGGGGGACTGTTGCAATGCAGATCTATTCGTGAAAATAAAAAGTCCAGTTGATTTCAGCCAGTTGACCAGCTTGTTGTCTCCTTCAGTTCTTTTGCCATCTTGGACAAAGTTTTAACTGGCTTGGTGCATACAGTCGTAAAGCAAAAAGTGTTACATTTCTCCACATCTGATTTAAGTATTGCAGATTATGTGTTAAAACCTTTAAATCATACTTCTTGATAAATGGGACAGCAGGCAGGGTGCTTTAGTTTGTTGATAAATGCACAAACATGCACCAAGCTGCAGGGATATGCCACACAACGGTAATAGGAGCTGTAAGCCTTTAGATCTGCAAACTTTGCTAGTTTTTTTTCCCCCCTGTCCTGTCAGTGGTGACAAGGAGGGAAGGTGTGATTTATTTCCATCATTCAGGAGCAATCACATGGAGGATGTCTGGTAGTTGGATTTTGGTAAGGGAGAGCTGCAGCAGCAGAGGGTGAGGTGAAATCTTAGCAGTTTAAGGTAATTGTCATTCCTCATGTTAAAAGGGAATAAAAGTCAGCAGTTTTACCCACAGATGGTAATGGGTTGTTGACGTGAGTAGGATATGCAATTATATGAAGCTTTAACAGTGTATTCTATAACATTTACCTGTCTCTACATCCTGGGCATAGAAATGCAGGGTGTCTGTGATCTCCGTGACGTAAACTGGTCTGTAGTTTGCAACACGTTCCTTCTCTTCTGATAACTGCACAAACTCTTCCACTGGTTTCTCCTCATAATTGGCCCAGATCTATAAAAAGAACGAAAGACGAATGAGAGACCAAAAACATTTAACAAGACACAAAAATTTCACTTGACAGATAAGTAGATATTTTACTATATTCTGCCATTTCAAAAGAGTTACAGTGAAACAAAAAAACAAAAAACAAATCCATAAACTGAACAAACGGTACATTGCAAGAACATTGTTGGCAACATTTAAATATATTAAAAAAAGGTTAAAAATGTAAAAAAAAAAAAAGTATGCATAGATTTTGATTTTTATTTATTCTGTTGTTGCAGTTTATTGACTGGAAAGATTTGAAAAGTATGGAAATATAGCACCGTAGTTGTGTAGCATGCAGAAAACCGACTAAATTATGGTACAGTACACTTAAATAGCTATAATAACTGTATTATGTTTTTACGTATTGTGGTTGTATATTATGATCCTGCACACAGCCTCCTTAGCTTGCTTCCCCTTCAGCTTCCCAGGAGAGACAGAGGGCAGGCGGCTCGTTAGGGAGGTGTTTTGCCTCAGGCCGAGTATCAAACTCTAGATCTCATTTTATGTGTGTATGTGTGTGTGTGTTTACAGGAAAAACAATCGAAACAGTGGGGCCAGTTAGGACACACACTTGAATGTAGTTATGGCTTTAGAAAAATGCACAAAACCCATGAGGAGTTGGGAATAAAAGGGCAATGGGATGGGGGGTGCGGTAAAAGTCCAAAAGTGCAACTGAGCTTCACAGTGGTGCAACCGCAGCACAGCTTGTTACCATTGGTTTCTGCAGGCTATTTGCGAAGTGTTTACTTTTAAATGCTGCAGAATGGAGGCGATGGAGGCAGGCAGTTTTTTAATGGCACAGCTATATGAGCCAATTAGGTTCTGGCTAATTATTTAACTGCATGGTATCATCTAAGCTAATTAGATTAAGCCAGTTTTAGTGTTGTCATTTTTTCATTTAGCCATAGCTCATCTTCAGCTCCACACTACTGTTAAGACTGAGCCGATCAAACCTGGGGCTGTTTTTAATACGCTGGCATGCTCCCATTCTCCTTTACCTCTGATGCTGAGATTCACAGCTGTAATAGCTCTGAGAGTGAAGTTATTTAATGAGGAAATCCAAAACAAAATGCAAACAATTACACTTTTTTTTTTTTTTTTTTTAAGAGGTGCTACTTACAGGCAAGGTGCACAGACCACAAAGAAATGGAGAGAGAAAAAACGGGGGGGTGCACGGATTGAGGGTGTGAAAGGTTAATGAAGACCTTAAATATGGCCATGCTTCGTAAACCCGGCCATCAACCAAAATTTTGTCTGCGGCATAGTGAGGAGATGCGCCTTCTTATCACACGATGTGCAAGATCATGCACAGATGCCAATGCACGACTTGTGGTAATAAACAGGCCCCATGCAATGCAGTTGAGTGGACACGATTTGGCTTTTAATCAAACCTGCACCACCAATTAGGCATGACAAAGATTGGAGTGTCAGCATTCATTAGCCTGGTGGCCATCACTGTGGCACAATCTGTGGTGGTAGGTGGGCTCACGGCTAAAAAGGACACCAGGCACAGCCATGCAGCAATTTTGTAATCCTTGCTAAATTATTTAACCCAGACAACATAACAAGTTCTATCATGTGTCGTCATTGAAGACGTTTCAAATTTCAGTTTTGTTATTAACAGGACACCATTATTGCAACACTGTTAATGTGATAGCATGGATGAAAGACAGAAGGTACAGTTTTGAAGTAATTTTCTTCAAATGATTCTATAAGCAACACTTCTTGGTTTTAAGGTCTAGTGAGTGTGTGTACCATAAACAGGCACTTGAAAAGGAAAAGAATGACATCAGATAGATCAGATAGGATAATTTGAACTTGTAGAATTTTATTATTATTATTTTTTTTTTACAGTTTAACACTACATATTGGGATTGAAGCTATAAATATTAGGACTTTACCATGGCAAAAACTCTGGTTGTCACGCATTTCTAGACAAGTCAAACACCATTGTTTGAATAGTACACTACTGTGATCAAGAAATGTCCCCTAATGCAACCCTGTCCTTATCATAATGCATGGACCATTGTTTTCATGAAACTGACTGTCAATTGGCTATTTGTGACAGAAGCTCTGGTGGTCAATTTCCTAACAGCAAGATGAAAATGAGTTTTTTATTGCGTCTGAGTGCATCATTAGAAGCAGTGCAAAGCTCCATCTCTGTCCGAAGAACACACAGGACACACAGTGCCGCACACACTGGCCCTATGCACAGAGCCCAGGGCTGATGACCTTCTGTGAGCAGCCAACCATCCTGTTGGTTCCACTTCAATGCAGGTATGCCGCCTCTGCTCCTGTGCCGCTACTGCAGCCAGACCACACCGCCATGGACAATATCAGCGTGGAAGCGCAGAGCAGGAGAGAGAGAGAACGATGGAAAAGGGAGAAAGAGGCAGCCCATTAAGCCCAGGCAGAAAGGACAACAAGTCCTAATCATGGAGGACTATGAGATGGCAGGTTAGACTGACCTTCACAACTCCACCACAACACATTCACACCCAGTGAGTGACAAGTCACAGCCATAATACAGTGATGGGGAATGAACTCAGCTCAATATTTTGATTTCACAATGTCAAATACAGGAACTGAAGGAAGCAATGTTTTACAAATAAAAATGTACCAGATTTTTTTCTTCATCTTTTAAAATGACAAACTTTGTGAGGAGGTGAAGCCTCTAAACTAAGTCAAATAATTGTGTATAGACAGATTACTGTAGCATCTCCCAGGTGGCATGTCTTCATTAACACTGACAAGATAGAAAACCTGCTGATGGGAAGAATCACCTTGGCAATTTCTAAGTGCACTTTTGAATTAAGCAATCTGCTGATCATCTGGGTAATGCCTCCCAATATTTATATACATTAATAAAGCTGGAGAATAAGCAAGGGTACTATATATGACAATATAAACACATAGATGGGTGCATACACACCCAATAATGTGAGTGCTTAAAGAGCAACTGTCTATACCAGCAGAGAAAGAGGCTGGACAGCTAAGAACAACTTAAAATATATTGTATGTGTTTGGTACCAAGTTATGCTGTTCATGTGTGGGTGTTGTGTATGTACCTTAGAAAACATCAGAAAAGTAGTTCATGTACTGTGTAAAATAGGACTGTCAGTGTTATTTATGGTAATAATTTCAAAACATATACAACAGTGCACCAATTATAATTTGTGCCCACCCCATGATGTAGGAGATAATTTTTTTACTTGCAAAGTGCCACTTTCATGTGGCTTTTTAGCCACATGTCTCTTACAACCAATAACTACTGTGGCAAAAGGTCAGGTAAATCCTGGGAAAGTGATATAAAAAGTACAATATGGCTTAAATGACTGACAAGCTTTATAGAGGGCTCTCTGACTGTGATTTATCGACTGGTTGAGCTGCTTCAAGGTACAATCACCACTTTGTGTTACAGTTGAAGCCCAGGGCGACTGCCGTTGTCCTGAAATCTCATAGTTCACATATAAAAAAATAAAATAAAAATTATTATATATATATATATATATATATATATATATATATATATATATATATATATATATATATATATATATATATATATATATATAGAGAGAGAGAGAGAGAGAGAGAGAGAGAGAGCGAGAGCGAGAGCGAGAGCGAGAGCGAGAGCGAGAGCGAGAGCGAGAGCGAGAGCGAGAGCGAGAGCGAGAGCGAGAGAGAGAGCGAGAGAGAGAGAGAGAGAGAGAGAGAGAGAGAGAGATATATATATATATATATATATATATATATATATATATATATATATATATATATATATATATATATATATAGATATATATATATAGTGATCAAGATTGGACAGACCTGAGCGACAGATGTCAAGGTGGCCCGATCATTCTTGTAAACTGAGGAGGAACAACATTAACCCAATGCAGCTGCCTCACCCCAAAAGGTACGCCTGCGGTCAGAGGTGGTGATGGTACATTAACCCGGATGGTTCACCTTGTCATATTGTAAGAAGTGGAGCGGCCATGTTTCGCAGGGGCAGAGAGATTTACAGGATTGTGGTCTGCCGGGGCTTCAAACCGTTCCTCCTTCTGGGCCAATATTCAGATGTAATGCATGGTGGTGATAAAAATACAGAAGAATAATCGCACACAAACACACAAGTATGGGTACAGGCATAAGCGTGGCCTTGAAGAGAATATGGAGGTCCGGATTGAGCTACGACACATTGGCTAATATAATGCGACTGCTTATAGGCTTACAAGGCCACACATGTGGACATAGTAACAAAACATGTCAGCCAGACACAGCCCACTGTGACAAGCAGTAAAAATTGAAATCACACATCGGTAAATCACAGTGAAGGAGGTAGCTGCTTTGACCCAACACTGGAAAATAAAATTCAACCTAGTGCATGGAATGATCCAGATACAGATCAAGTATTCAAAAGGTTCACTAGTAAAACATTTTAAATCAAACTATACATTTTGTTATAATATGAACATGTCTTAAGCATTTTGTTTACCGGCAGTTGTGTGAGAGAAAGGTCCTTGGAAATCTTATGAACTTGCCAACTGTGAAACGTATTTAAAGTTTTTAAGTCATACAATTAATTGCATTAAATTTTAAACGCTCTAATGGTCAGTTCAACCTGCTGGACTGGTTTGAAGTCAACACTAATCTTTCCTAAAAGCTGTCCACAACGGCAGACAAAGCCAAACCGCACTGGGGGACTATAAGAAGGGGGACTGAAATGACAGGACAAGACTCTTGGATGTGGTTACTTAGCAGATAAATTATGCATTAAAACTGCACAGGTGGTGCAGGACAGGATTTTAGGTGGAGGGAGGGGGCAAAGCAGCTGGGGAACTTATAACAGAGCTGAGAGAGCAAGTGAAGGATGGAAGGAGAAAGAGGCACACTCCCTGGGTCCATATCACAACTAACAGATGTTCAGCCATCAAAGAGGCTGCATGCAGGCAGCTAGGCTA